CAGGCCCCCTCCTGCGCACACCCCCGGGCAGCCGCCCCTCGCCTTGCGCAAGCCCCCCAAGGCCATCAGAGGAGGCCGTGCCGGCAGGCACAGGCTCCAAGCCAGGGACAGGCTCTGGGACACCGGCACGGCCCCAACCCGGTGGGTTGCTGGGACGAACCACCCCCCTGGCAGCCAATAACCCGAGCGGCCGCCCCGGCACGGCACGGCCAGTGCCCACTGGTACACGTGCCCAGCTGGGCACAGCCTCTCACCTGCTTGGCATTGCCGACCCAGAAGGTGATGGAGTGGAAATGGATGAAGCGGCCTCGCGCGGGCTAGAGGGAAGGGGAAAACAGGGCTGAGAGCCACCGCCGCAGCCTTTCCCGGAGCACTGCTCCTCTCCAGAGCAGGGAGAAGCAGCGGCTGCGACCCTGCAAATGTGTCTCATACAAATGTGTTGAAATTAAATGGGTGAAACCCTGGCTGCTGCCCCAAAACAGTGATTTTTCAAAGTGCTTTTACAGTCAGGTCCCACAGGATCTTGCTCTGTGGGGTGGAAGGTGCCAAGTCCCTGCTCTCCTGGGACTGGGTCACTCCTGGTGCCCCCAGTGCTCCCCCCCAGCTGCCCACCTGCAAACGCAGTGAACCTTGCTGTGTTAAAGATTAATTCTCCCTCGAAACACTCTTACACAACTGCCAGTGCCGGGACAAACCCCCCTTCGCTCTGTTCCCCACCACCATCCAACCCGGGCACCCGGCCACGATGTGCACCAGTGATTTGGAAAGCACTTTACAGGGGAAAAAGGTGGCGAATAGGTGCAGCATTTGGAAATAAACGTTGGAACATTTGAGGATCCTGCTCAGGCGTTGGGGTTAGCTGGGAAATACCCATCGTCTCCCATTCGTCATTCTCCTCCCAAGCCACAAAGAAAAGGGAAACTAAAAGATTTCCATTGTTAATGTTATTTGCAATGAGAAACCACTCCTGTGTGGCTCATCCAGAGAGCAGTTTTACTTCTGATTTTACCAGGTAATCAAGGAGTAAAGAACAAATATTCTTTGCATGAGCAGGGCTGATGTTTCAAAGCAGGGGGGCCGGACCGAGGACACGAAGCAGCTCTTACCTTCTCTCCCTTGTCTGTGTAAGACGTCTAAAAGAGAGAACCAGAAAAGAGAGATGTTAGCAGTTCAGGAAGGTACCTCAGCCCCCAGGGAGCTTGAATCCAAAGGTCAGTGTATGAGGAACAGCTCTTCTACACAACTTCCAGCACTGTTGCTAAAAAGTCCGAATTCAAGCAGAGATTAAACCCCATAAAGCTCCCGAGACTTCCTGTGCCGTTGAGCTCTGGCTGTTAAAATTAATTCCCGTTGCTGCCCCTCACCATTTTTGTGTCCTGGCGATGTGACAGTGGCAAAGAGAGAGCAAGTCCACGAGGGCATTTAATATAGTGGTGGGACTGGGGAAGCTCCTCCTCGGCCCCACCTTCTCCCACCCCCAACCCGAAGCATTTGCGACCCAGAACTGTGCGGTTTGGGCTGGGAATCGCCTGTTCCGAGGCAGAGGGCTCAGCCCCACGTTTGGGCTTGTGCAGGGAGTCAAATGTGGGATGTTTTATGGTGAGCTGTGACTTCAGCTGTAGGGACACGTGTCCCAAGGGACTGGTGGATGGGCAGCAGCACCCCAGTGAGGAAAGGGGTGCCGGCATCTTCCCATGGGTGGCTTTTCCAGGGTTATCTCCTGGGGTCGTTGGTGTTCCTGCCCCCAGCACAGCAGGGCTAAATGTGGCGGGTGGTGAGCGTGCAAGTGTGCAAGGCTCAGTGGTGCAGGAACCTGCCAACCCCTCTGCAAAACTTCCCCGGGTCCATGGTGGGGTGATGCAACCACAGCAGCATGTCCTCTCCCAGCCCACCCACCTGCCCCCGGGGACATTCACCCCTTCACGGTGACATGTCCCCTCCTGTGCCCATCTGACTTCCTAGGTCTGAGCCAGGACACTTTGGCTGTGTGCAGGGTCCAGCCATGTCTACAGCGTCCAGGCCTGGGGTCACACAGTGTCACCTTTGTCCCTGGTGAGCCCAGCGCTGGCTGAGCCAGGACACTTTGGCTGTGTGCAGGGTCCAGCCATGTCTACAGCGTCCAGGCCTGGGGTCACACAGTGTCACCTTTGTCCCTGGTGAGCCCAGCGCTGCAGGGGTCCCCAAAATGTGGGAGCAGCAGGAGGAGGGGCAGGAGGGATCCCTGCCGGGTGACACACCAGCCCATGCACCCTGTGGCTGGCAGGGGTGGTCAACTGGAGCTGCTGGTGAGACTGGGGAGGATGAGGACAAGGGGTATGGGTGGGTGTCAGCTGTGACAGGCCATAATTCCGAGCATCAACAATGTTGGATGCTAAGATTTCAAGGGCAGTAAGTTTATTTTTACTGAATATGAAGCAATTGAGAATATTAACCATTTTTGATGCCGGAACTGCCACTATTTTATGTTGTAAAGCCTTTATTGCCTTGAGCTGTGGTTCAGCCCTGGAAAAGTATCTCAGTAACTCAACAACTTGTTCACTAGAGAAGTGTCTGTGAACATATTCAATGGCTTTTAATTTGTACTTAGTCAAGACAGCCTTTCTAATCTCATCCAGCACGATTTCAAATAATTTCTTATCCATCTGTATGTGTCCCCTGCTGCCACACACCCGGGGGGGGGATAGCCACCTACCGCCCCTCAAGCACGCTGGGGCAGGGACCAGAGAGGGACAGGGTCACCCCGTGGGGCCACCACGGCTGTAGAACCCTACACCTGCAGGGGTCCCCAAAATGTGGGAGCAGCAGGAGGAGGGGCAGGAGGGATCCCTGCCGGGTGACACACCAGCCCATGCACCCTGTGGCTGGCAGGGGTGGTCAACTGGAGCTGCTGGTGAGACTGGGGAGGATGAGGACAAGGGGTATGGGTGGGTGTCAGCTGTGACAGGCCATAATTCCGAGCATCAACAATGTTGGATGCTAAGATTTCAAGGGCAATAAGTTTATTTTTACTGAATATGAAGCAATTGAGAATATTAACCATTTTTGATGCTGGAACCGCCACTATTTTATGTTGTGAAGCCTTTATTGCCTTGAGCTGTGGTTCAGCCCTGGAAAAGTATCTCAGTAACTCAACAACTTGTTCACTAGAGAAGTGTCTGTGAACATATTCAATGGCTTTTAATTTGTACTTAGTCAAGACAGCCTTTCTAATCTCATCCAGCACGATTTCAAATAATTTCTTATCCATCTGTATGTGTCCCCTGCCCTTTATTGCCTTGAGCTGTGGTTCAGCCCAGGAAATGTCTATCAGTAACTCAACAACTTGTTCACTAGAAAAGTGTCCGTGAACATATTCAATGGCTTTTAATTTGTACTCAGTCAAGACAGCCTTTCTAATCTCATCCAGCACGGTTTCAAATCATATCTTATCCATCTTTATGTGTCCCCTGCTGCCACACACCCTGGGGGGGGAACAGCCACCTACCGCCCCTCAAGCACGCTGGGGCAGGGACCAGAAAGGGACAGGGTCACCCCGTGGGGCCACCGTGGCTGTAGAACCCTACAACCGCTGTGTCACCCCCTGTCACCCCGTGTCACTGCCACTGCCGTGCCCCCCACTTCCCCCCACGGCACCATCACACTCGTGTCACCCTGTGTCACCGCTACCACCCTGTCACCTCCTCACACTGCCACCGCTGTGCCCCCTACCTCCCTCCACGGAACTGTCACACCCCTATCACCCCATGTCACCCCGTGTCACCCCTGTCACCCCGTGTCACCGCTACCGCTCTGTC